GTGTGTGTTACTCGAGCTAGCGTAAGTGAAAAAAGTTATATTAGTTATATATTCAAAATTCGGACTTTCAGCTAAGATTGAAAATCTTAAGTAAATATTTTAATTTTGCGTTTATCAATCTTTAGTAAGCATTTAAATTGTCTGTATGCATTTAAATTGCGTTACATAAATAATAGTAAATAAAACGCTTTAAACGTCTTAATTAATGAGCAAAATCATTCTAATTTTTTAAAACCATTTTAATAGATGATATGATTGTAAGATCGTTTGAATTAAAAATTGCAAAAATCGGATCGTTTCATATTATTTTTAATCTATTATTCTTTATCGTTGCGTTTCCGAATTTCTGAAAGATTTCATCTGGGACATTCTGTGAAGAAACGTCCCATGAAGATTCTCTCACGAGACGGAAATTCGGAAAAGACGAGACCGTAACCGAACACCCTGTAGATTCTCCGGATTCTTTGCCGTAGAATCACCAAGGGACATCCTATACGAGTTTCTACCTCTTCTTCTCCAGTACGTTTCTGTTTACCATGGCGGGCACGTTGCTGTCCACCGGCGTCTGGTGCTTCCTGGTTAGGCTACCCATGATCCATCTGGCACGCGGACCCTCGAGGATTGTCATCCTCCTCAGCGGTTACATCTTCGCCGCCGGTGCACTCACGTTGCCTGCCTCATGCATCCTGTATCGCGAGCATAACGTGACTCGGGGTCACTATACATTACTTCCGGTAAGATTGTTCATTCAGTAATTGTAAATCGCAGCAATTGCATAACGGTAATGCAATTAAATGATGTGTATTTCAAAAGACATGACGCATTATAAAAAAGATTCCTCATTAGAAATTTTTCTTTTAGAATCAGTCTTTTCAAAGAGAAAGAGCGATCTTATATATTTAATTCGTATTACTCCTATCATATTAGTGGCTTTATTGAGAATTTACAAATAATGACTATTAATTGTCACTGTTTTATATTGCAATATGCATTCATCTTTTTTCGCTGTTATAAATTTTCATTAACGAATATTTATATAAAATTTGGTTTTTACTCTAACTAAAATCTAACTCAAAATTTAATTTTAATTTTAACTAAGTTGAAATTGTAATTAAGATAGAAATAAAAATATTCATGAATACGATATGTGTATGTGGTGGGATAGACAAACAAGAGAAATAATTTCAATCTGTCTTTCTACTTCGTTAAATGCAAATCGTTGATGCAACGACAAAACAATTCGAAACAAATGCAAACAGAATAAATGACCGAAATTTTATTGTTCCATTCTGAACACTGTTATATAACAACGTACATATGTGCAGTGAATGAAATATTCAGTCTTTTCTCTCTATAATAAAAAATCGTCTTTTTCAAGGGTCCTTAGGCCCGACGTTTATTGATTGACTGGACTAAAACGGGCGTATCTGCTCGCACGATGACGCGATCGACTTAAGATTTAAGAGAAAATCCTCGTAACCCGTTCACCGCGTTACAGCTCGCAGCTGCGGGCGCAGATCGACCATTTAAATCTTAGCGGACGATTTCTCCATGATCTATGACGGACACAGTGTACCCAGCGGCCGTTCCGAATAAAGTTCCCTTGACTTGATCCCTATTACTTCCTGAAAGCTCAGTTGCTTGCGTTCCATTAACTTTTCCTATGTTGAAAGGTCCTTAACTCTTTCTCTATGATTGATAACAACAGTCGACAAATGCATTTCTATCGAACAATATTAACTATAAGCTTCTCTATTTTCTCTCTTTCGATTTTTAATATTATTTTTAATTCTATACTCTTTATGTTTATTATATATATATATA